AGTCCTTTTGCAACGCCTTCTTTCTTTGAAGAATTGTGGATTTCTTAAGATACTGCAACCCACATTTGAAGTGTTATGTATTAAATTAGCACATTGTGAGCAAATCTTGCCTATTCAGGAAGGAAACTACCATAGCTATTTCAGCGGATGGATCTCTTGGAGCAGGAGAAGTGGCTGTGGTCGCGCTTGGATGCTTTCTGCTGGCAGATCCTATGGACTTGTTTTCCTGACATCTCTTGTCTATAGATAACACTTATCCCTTCCTCTGCCACCTCTGACTGCGTTTGGGGGCTTGTGTATTGAGTGATGCCTTATCTCTCTAAAGGCTACAGAGGAGTCAGAGAGTGAGGCCTGGGGAAGGGCTGTATGGCACGTGACCTTATTTGAGGCGCCATCCAGCAGCTTGTCTACTTCTGATCTCCCAAGCCTCCATATGCCTTGCCGCTTGACAAGGTGGTGCCTGAAAGAATTGCTTCCTAGGCGAAGCCGCAGGTAAATCCAGTTTGTCCTTGATGATGCTCCCGCCTTTCCTCTGGACTCTGGAGTAGATTTCTTACGGATTTTGTTTGTGTTTCTGGAATTCCTCCTCACTTCTCTGCAATTTTCCTGTGGGGAGCACCCTCCCCCTCAGAAGCTGTCTTATCAAGAAACGGTCAGTCTAGGTGTGTTGTCTCCTGGGAAGGAGGGAGCGTACAGGCCAGGTGGGGCCCATCAGAGTCTGTCTCTATGGAAGCTGAATTCTGAGAAGAGTGACACAGGCTCAAGAACGGCTGGAGCCCATTTGTCCTGAGGCGGTGTGTCTCAGTCCCCGCCACCTGGATCTGTGGCACCTTTTTCTTCCCGTCCATCTCAGGGCCCAGTTGTTCAGCCTTTCCACTGATGCTACATCTTCTTGCACTAAATTAGATTTTTCCTCCTGAAGTAAACCAGACTCTGTTACTATTGCTTATCATCAAAGAGACTTGAGAAATCCATCCTCTGCTCCCTTTCTTCAGCATCTTCTAGGCTTCTCCCCAACTGAAAGCTCTTTAGTGGTGTCTTAGTCCATTTGGGCGGCTATAAAAATATACCATACAGTCGGTGCTTTATAAAAAAGCAGACATTTATTTCTCATGGTTCTGGAGGCTGCAAAGTCCAAGATCAAGGTGCTGGCAGATTTACCACGTAGGGAAGGTCCGCCTCCTGCTTCATTTGTAGTGGTCTTTTTCCTCACGTGGAGGAAGGGGCAGAGGAGCCCTCGGGGCCTCTTTTAATAAGGGCGCTAATCCCATCACAACCCAGACCTATCACGATTTAATCAACCCCCAAAAGCTCCCCCAAATACCATCACATTGAGATTAGGTTTCAACATGTGAATTTCGAGGAGACCCATTCAGATGACAGCAAATGGCTTCACATTTCTATTAGAATAAGACCCAAGTCTTAACCCCAGTCTGCAGGGCCCAGCCCTGTCTGGCGGTCTGTACCGCGGGGACCTCTCTGCCCACTCTCCCACCCTGACATCTCCTTCACTTTCTATTCCCCCCCACTCACCTTCTCTCATTTCTTTGGGTGCGCCCTGTTCTCTCTCCGCAGGGATTTCCCAGCCACTCCCTTCTGCCTGCAGTGCTCTTGAATCTGTCTTCCCACGCCCACCCCATATCCTTGGCAGGGTTGATTAGGTTAGGGGCTTTCTTAACGCATCATGGCACTCACCTCAATTTGTGGTGGGCTATCTACATGTGGATTATTTGATTATTGCTTATCTCCCTCAGTAGAGTATAAGCTTCTGAGGACAGGAACTATGTTTTTGTCCATGATTATATTCTGGTGTTTGACACAGATGTACATAAGAAAAGCCCAAAACATCTTTTAAGTTTTTGAATTACAGGTTCAGAGGTGTGTGTGCAGGTTGTTACATGGATATATTGTGTGATAGTGAGGTTTGGGCTTCAGTTGAACTTGTCACCCAAACAGTGAGCATAGTACCCAATAGGCAGTTTTTACACCCTTGCTCCCTGCCTCCCTCCCTTGTTTTTGAAGTCCACAGTGTCTGTTGTTCTCATCTTTATTCCCTGTGTACCCAACCAAACATTTCTGTGGAATGAATATGTTTTAAAAAGTGCAGTCTGACCTTGTCAGACCACCTGCGAGATGAACCTGTGTTCCCAGCCTTCTTCTCACAGTGAGATTTCTGAGCTCCTCTGTCCCTTTAGGGCTCTGGTCTGCACTAGGATTTGATGGCTGGAATAGTTTAATAGAACCCATAACCGTGGTTTTTGCCAACATGCTTTCCTGTGGTTCTCCTTTCTCTGGCCTTCTATTGTGCTCCTGTTCAATGTCCACCTCTTACCACTTGATTATATTCTCCTACTGAGGCCTATTTAGTGACAGGATGGTTACATCCTTGAAAGCAGGAACTAGGGGAATGAAGGTAACTATTTTCCTGGTTCTGCCCCTTTATAGCTGGGTGAACATTGGCTAATTCATTTAATTTCCCTGAAACTTAATTTCCCCATTTTTAAAATGGGGATGATACCTGTTTTGCTAAATAGAGCTGCCCCTTGATGTCCATGTGGAGTGGTTACAGGGTTGCCTGCAGATGCCCCAATCCACGGGTGCCCAAGTCCCTCATGTAAAATGTAGTATGTGCATATAACTTACACACATCCTCACGTGTACGTCAAATAATCTTTAGATTACTTAGAATACCTAATATAATGTAAATGTTATGTAAACAATTGTTGTGCTGTATTGTTTAGGAAATGGTGACAAGAAAAAATGTTCGGTTTAGGCGCATTCATTTTTTAAAAGAAAATATTTTAGATTCGCGGTTGGTTGAACCTGTGAATGCAAAGAATTAAAGCATATCAAGGTGCTTCAGAAAGTTGCTAAATTAATATATAACGTAAAAAGTATTTATCATTACTTTGTACCTGCTGTGGTCTGAATGCTTGTGTTCCTCCCCCCCCCACATTCATATGTTAAAATCTAAACCCCCAAGTTGCTAGTATTAGGAGATGGGGCCTTTGGGAGGTTTTTAGATTATGGGGTGGAGCCCTCATGAATGAATGAGTGCCCACAGAAGAGAGGTCTGAGAGTAAACCCCTTCCCTTTCCACCACGCGAGGACGCAGAAGTCACCATCTATGAACCAGAAAGCAGGCCTTCACCAGACAGTGAATCTGCCAGCCTCCAGAACTTTGAGAAATGAATTTCTGTTGTTGAAAAGCTACACAGTTTATGGTATTTTGTTGTGAGCTGAAGTGTACCAAGAGGATACCTTTCTGATATTCATCGTAAGATGTGGTTTCCGGTAGGCACTCTCCATGTGCTGTAGTGCTTTAGCACAGCTGCCCTTATTTCAGGTAGAGAGTGAAATAAGATGTGCTACTAGGTACCCCGAGTGCCTACCTAGAGCGAGGCATGGAGCTAAGGGCTTCGCATGTGCTGCTTCCATGGATCCTTGCGATATTATGAAACTGACCTTCCTCTTTCTCATTTGACTGAGGAGAAAATGAGGCTAGAAGAGGTCAAGTGACGTATTCAAGGTCACACAGCTTACAAACTGGGGAGCTGGGATTCAAGTACGGCTACTGAGTCCACGAGCAGTGCTGTTCTCCTGGGTCCACACGGCTGCCCTTACCCTGCACATCCTTTCCAGGGAAGTGCAAAGGTTATACTTTACTAAGGCCTCTGGGCACTAACCAGGCGGAGACACTACTTCCCCTCACTTAATGTTGACATAACATCATTTCGCAAATGAGGAAACAGAAGTGCGGAGAGAACCTGCACCGTTGCCCCTGGTTAGGATCCAGAAAGCTGCAACAGGCCCCAACTGCTACTATTGCAACAATAAGGAAAACTGGTTCAACTGTGAAAATCCCACATGTAAAGACAGTGGAGAGCCGTGGAAGCAAGGAGCAGGACAACTGAACTAGAGAAGGAAGCAGCTTTCCTGGGCCTGCAGACCCTGCCTCGCTTTCTTCCCTGGGGGCATCTACCTATTCTGAGCTTGGGTGAGGGCTTGACCTAAGCCAGCAGAGACTCTGAAGAGGGAGAGAGAAAACAGAGATTGTGGCAGTCTCTCGGGGCTGGCATGACAGATTAGAGACCAGAGGGGCCCTAAAGGTAAGGCAGGTTTTCCCCAAGAAACATTGCTGAGCTCTGGGACGCTGATAGAGGCTCAGTAACCTGGGATCTAGTGCTCACTAAATCTGGGACTGAGTGCCTGCACCACAGGCCAGTTTTATTTTGGGTTTCTTTCCTGGGTCCTGTCAAGCCCAAGAGATCACCATTTGCCCACCCTTTCCCTTGGACATTGACATTCTTCACCAATTGTCTGGATTTTCTGTGGCAGGTAGATGTTTCTCAGACATTGGCGCCCCCTGCTGTCAGACAGCAGCTTTGCAAGTATTTGGAGCCTGGCTCACAAACCATAATAATGCTGATGGGGACAGAAAATAAAGGGTCGCTCAACGTCCGCAGGGTGCTGCTGGGCCTGGCGGGCTGCCCAGGAGAGCACAGGTCATCTGGAACGCCTCAGACTCTGCCCTAGCCCCACGGTGCTGCTGGCTGCATCCCAGTGTAGGTGGCACGTTCTGGTATCTTGGGAATCTTTGACTATGCTCCCAAGAATCAGGGATTTAACTGCAATGGACGATGACTTCCAAAGTCTGAGATGGGCTAGTCTCACTGGTCTCTATCCCTGACCTGTCCTGGATGTTAACTGTCCAGACTGGTAGATACCCGTGGCTCCAAGCCTCCGTCTGTAAAATGAAGTCAACCGTGCCCACTGCACAGGGCTGTTTATGTGTTAAATGAGAGTGTCTGGAGTGCTTAGCATTGCCTGACATACAGCTGGAGCTGGGTGAGCAGTGAGAATAGCAATGCTAATTCTTGTTCCTGCGGCCGCCCCCATCCTCCTCAAGCTCCTCAAAGCGGGCTGCACTGGTCGCCTCTCAGTAGTGGTGAGAGCTGGCCGGACTCTGAACGTTCTGACATTCTCAGCCTTCCTTACAGCAGGACAACAGGGCAGGAGCCTGGTGCCCAGGGCTGAGGAACAAGAAGACCTGGGCTATGGAGAAGAGGCACCAGACAGTTCCCTGGACTTCAGCCTCCCGTCTGTGACTGGCCAGCATCGGTGGTTCTCAAACCTCGGGCCTGTGGAAGCTGAGTCGTCTTCCTAAGTAAGCTGCTAAAACGGTCTCTGGAGAACTGTGTTTGTGAAGGCTTCATCTCAGTCCCACATTCAAGGAGGGGACTCTGACTGCTCTAGATGGAGGAGCTGACGGAGCTGACAGAAAGCAGTGGTCAGATGACACAAAGTCGTTGACTGGGAGAACGGCTCTTCTGACTGCTTTGTGTGGGCAGCACATGCTGGGTGCTAGGGAATCCGTGGGTGTGGGGTGAGATGCTGTCTGGGGACTTCCCGGTGCCAGTCTTCTGGGATGAGCCAGCCTGGCTCTGAGCCTCCGTCCTCCAGCTTCGCGGGAGCTGAGCCCTTTGCGGTCTGGGCTCGAGTTCTGGATTGCACTGCTTTCCTGTTCTGCGGTTTCCCTAGCTCTCAGGTCGCCCTGTCCCCAGCACCCTTAGCAGCAATATCACTGAGGTTTATTTTCTGGCAAGAAAGAAAACTTCCCATCACTCCACCTTGAATGCACACGCGTTCCTCGGGTGCCCATCTGCACTCCCTCCAGGTCTTGGCACCTGCTCCATCATGGGTCCTGCCATGATCCGGTCCCACAGTGGGCCTTGCCTCAGCTCTGGCTGGAGAGGACCCAGCTGGCTGCCAAGCCCCTGGAATGCCCTCCCAGGGTCCCAGACTCTGCCACCTACACAGGGATGCAGCCAACAGCAGTGTAGGGCTGTGGCAGAGTCTCAGGTGTTCCAGGTGACCTGCATTCCTGGGCAGCCCGCCAGGCCCAGCAGCACTCTGCAGACATTGAGTGACCCTTTATTTTCCATCCCCGTCAGCATTATGACTCGGTTTGTGACTTTTTTACCTGCTCACTTGTGTTATCTTAGGTTTGGGCCTTGTGACTTTGTTTTGTCCTAGGGTTGCCGGATAAAATACAAGATGTCCAGTTAAATTCGAATTTTGGATAGATAAGGAATCATTTTAAAAATTTTAAGTATGTCCCAAATATTGCATGGGTTATCCTCATCCTAAAAAATGATTCCTCGTTTATCTGAAGTTCAAATTTAACTGAGTGTCCTGTATTTTTATTCGCGAAATTTGTATTCACAATGAACTGGGTGTCCTGTATTTTTATTCAGTAAACCTGGCAACCCTCTTCTTCAGAGGGGGCCTCCCTGAACTCAAGAACTTTCTGAACTTTCTTGGGGAGGCTTCCAGCCTGACTGCAGGGACTTAACCCCACTCTTCAGGAGAATCATAATGGATGATCCCGTCCTCAGACTGGGAGCTCCTTGAAGGTAGGCCTTGGGTCCCCCTTTCACTGCCACACCTCAGATGCTCGAACTAGGGCCAAGGGGCTCAGCACCTTGTGAGCATCATGGGTCCCATCAGGGCTAAGACCATAGGGACCTTGGTGCTATTTGCCTGCTCAAGGGACCTGCAATGGCACAGGGCTGGTGGGTGGCTGCGAGCCTTGAGAGGAGATTCCTTGGGATCACATGTCCCGTGACAGCTGCTGGGCTGGGGAATGAGCTCTGAGCAAGGTGGGTTTCCTGGGGGCACCTCACGTCATTTTGCTGGACACAGAGGGGCATTTTACCCTTTCTGCCGCATATGGTATGGGATCACAGGCAGGCCTGAACCTGTTCTCTCTGCCTGATGGCTTATCAATTTCTTGCTTCATCTCAGAACAAAGGACTAACTCCTTACACAGATGAGGGGAAATGATCTGCCCAGACACCAATCCAATTAAGGGAAGAACTGGGACCAGGATAAGTTCTTCTGGCTCTCAGTCCAGCGCTCAGCACGGGGTTGTCTTTCCAGGGGCAGCAAGGACCTGAGGCAGGACGTTTACTGGAGCCCTGAGCCCTGGCAGCAGCAACTGCGTCTGTTCACAGCAGCGATGACAGAGAGTGTCAAAACCGAGCATTCACTGGAGGCAGAGTCTGAACCCTTCAAATAAGATGTGACGAATCATCCGGTTGAAGGGAAATCCCTGATAGCCTAGCTAGTTTCAGGGAGATAGACAGGGAGAGCTTCTGGTGTTTATGTTTTGAAATTTCCCTTTTTTTTCCTCCATAAAGGAGAAATAAACTTTGTCCTTCGGTTGTGAAGCTGAGGAGGCCTCTGGAAGCTGTGCTTAGTTAGTGACAACGCCAAGGTCTGAACATTGCTGTCCATTGCCCCTGGGTTCACAGGAGCCATCGCCTTCCCTGCCCCGTCCTTAGCTCTCTACTAATTTCTAGGAACCCATGCAATGTGCACGGGTCACATCGGATGTTGCTGTCTTAGAGGCATAGAGGTTACTTGGTCCCACCTGCAAGGGCAGCTCTTTCTCGAAAGGGCAGCCTTGTCTGCTTTCACCTGAGCTCTCCTTAGTACATTACCTCTCCCCACCCACATCCTTATCATCCTTTTATCTACATATCAACCCCCGGAGTGTCCCTTAGAATCCTCTGTTGGGACTTGCCCATGGTCTTTAATGGGGGAGGGGTACTTCTGCGGTTGGGATTTTTAAACTGGAGCCCCTTTCCCTTGGGCGTTCCTCCCGCACCTCTTGTCCACCTGGCAGCTCTTAGGAGTGATTTATGGGGTAGTCTGTCATTACATTGCTAGAGGGGAGAAGGTGAGGAGACTGAATGAAACGAAGAGGGCCCTGGGTCTGGGATGGGTGGGCTTGTCTTTTGGAGGGGCCCGGAGGTCCTTCTAATACCTGGGATTTCATGCACAGATTCCTCTGTGCTCAACAAAGTACATTTTTAAAAATGTTTTAATTAAAAGGGAAGTTTTAGAAAGGACTGCCTCCCCAGCCTTGATGCTTTGACACAAGAATAGTTTATTCTTAAACAAGGCATGCACACAAAATTCACCATAACATTGATTACATTGCAATAAGGAATTTGTTTATTTGACAACTTAAAGACAAGTTGCATATTAGGAGAAAATATTTTGGATGCATGCAAGTTGCAAAGGTTCCGTTCATATTATATATAAGAACTATCATTCAGCAAAAAGAAATCAAACAACTCAATAAGGAAATGGATAAATGACATAAACAAGGGTTTCACAGAAAAGGGAATATATGTGGGGAATAAATACATAAGGAGATATTCAACCTCGTTAGTTATCAAGGAAAAACAAAGACAATAGTGAATTAACATATATTTATTCAATTGGTGAATATTACAACCTGTTAACATAGGGAATTGGAAACAATGTAGACAGTCACTTATGTATTCAATAAAAATGTATCGAACCCTACTTTGCACTTGTAAACCAAAAATAAAATTCTATGGCCCCCCTCAACCATCTGAACGGACTCCTTCTCTTGGCCAAGAGCATTCCAAATTTAGACTGAAAAACTAGTTTTAGGCCACGGTGGAAAGGGGGAGCCAGACATGCCTCATTATACCATCCTCTCTTTTGGAATTAGTGATAGAACAGACTCTTTACGTCTGATACGATCTGACTCCCAAGCTTGCTACTTGGAGACTTCATCTGCATGATAAAACCTTGATCTCCACAACCCCTTATTATAACCCAGGTGTTCCTTTCTATTTTTAATAACTCAACCAATTGCCAATCAGAAAATCTCTGAATATGCCTGTGACTTGGAGGCCCCCGACATCCAGTTGTTCCACCTTTCTGGACTGAACCAATACACATCTTACAGGTATTGATTAATGTATCATGTCTCCCTAAAACGTATAAAAACCAAGCTGTACCCTGACCACCTTGGGTATATGTTCTCAGGATCTCCTGAGGGCTGTGTCAGGGGCCATTGGTCACTCATATTTGGCTTAGAATAAATCTCTTCAAAGATTTTATAGAGTTTGACTCTTTTTGTTGATACACTGGATACTCCATCAGATGCTCAGGATATAGCAATGAACAAAGAAGATAAAAGCACCAGTTGCATGATAGCTGACATTCCTTAGGGAGGAGATGGCAAGCAGACAGTAAATGTAATAATTACATAAGTTATATCTTACGTTAGAAGGGGAGTATATAGGAGAAAAGGAACAACTGATAGTGATGGTGGGGTAATTTCCAAATTAAATGGCTCATTCAGGATGTACCTTACTTAGAATGTGGCATTTGAGAAAGACTTGAAGAGCATGAGGAAGTGACTTGTGCAGGTGCCTAGGGGAAGAGCGTTACAGACAGAAGGGAAAGCCATGTGAGAGCCCTAAGGTGACAGAATTCCTTACACCTTGTTGAAGGGAATGTAACTTAGCACAACCTCTTTGAAAAAACAATTGGCATTTTCTTGTAAATTTGAATATCTTGTAAACAGCAGTTCTACTCTTAAGTACATAGTCAAAGGACACCCTTAACATGTGTACTAGGGGAAATGTGCAAGAATATTCATAGCAGTGGTGTTCAAAAAATCAAGCAACTCAAAGGTCCAGACGTAAGAGTTTTAAACCATATTGTTTAGGCATATGTTTCAATTATCTATTGCTGCATAACAAGTAATCCCAAAGTTTAGTGGCTGAAAACAACAACAATCATTACTTATGTTTTATGATTTCTGTGGGAAACCAGTAATTTGGACAGGGCATAAAAGAGATGGCTTGTCTTCATTATAACACCTGGGGACTCATCTGGGGAGACTTGAAGGCTGAGGGGTGACTCAACGGCTACAGTCTACAATTATCTGAGATATAAGGAGTCACGTTTTGCGTTTGGTGCTGCCTGTCTCAACTCAGCTGTTGGCAAGAAACCCTACATGTAGACTCTCCATATGGTCTCTCTACATGGAATATTTTGGATTTTTTCACAGCATAGTGGCTGGGTTCCAAGAGCATGTGTCCCTGAAGAACAAGACAGCAGCAAATGAAATTTTTATAATTCATCCATGAAAATTACAGTGTCATTTTTTTTTCTTTTTTTATTGGCAGAGGCAGACACAAGGCCCACCTATGTTCAAGGGAAGGGGACATAGACACCAGCATTCAGTGGGAAGACTATCAAGATGTGTCAGTCTGCTCTTGCATTGCTAAAAAGAAATACCCAAGACTGGGTAATTTATAAAGAAAAGAGGTGTAATTGGCTCATGGTTCCACAGACCACAGGAAGCACGGCAACAACTGGTTCTGGGGAGGCCTCAGGGAGGTTTTACTCATTGTGGAAGGCAAAGCAGGAGCAGGAGTCGTACATGGCAAGAGTAGAACCAAAGGATTGGGGGAGGTGCTACACACTTTTAAACAACCAGATTTCCTGAGAACTCTACCATGAGACAGAGTCAAGGGGATGATATTAAACCATGCATGAAAGATCCACCCCAATGATCCAGTTACCTCCCACCAGGTCCCACCTCCAACATTGTGGATTACAATTTGATATGAGATTTGGGCAGGGACACACATACAAACCCTATTATTCTGCCCTGGCTTCTCCCAAATCTCATGTCCTTTTCACATTGCAAAATACAATCATGCCTTCCCAACAGTCCCCCAAAGTCTTAACTCCTTCCAGCATTACTCAAAAGCCCAAATTTCAAAGTCTACAAGACAGGTCCCTTCTTCCTATGAGCCTGTAAAATCAAAAACAAGTTAGTTGTTTCAAGATAAAATGGGGGTATAGGCATTGGGTAAATACTCCTATTCCAAAAGGTAGAAATCAGCTAAAAGAAAGGGGCTACAGGCCCTGTGTAGATCTGAAACCCAGTAGGGCAGTTATTAAATTTTAAAACTTCAAAATAATCTCCTTGGACCTCACATCTCATATTCAGGGCACACTGGTGTAAGAGGTGGCTTCCCAAATCCTTGGGCAGCTTTGCCTCTGTGGCTTTCCAGGATCTGTGGCTGCTTTCATGGGCTGGTGTTGAGTACCTTTAGCTTTTCCAGGTAATAGGTGCAAGACGTTGCTGTGTCTACCATTCTGGGGTCTGGAGGACCTTGGCCCTCTTCTCACAGGTCCACTAGGCAGTGCCCCACTGGGGACTTTGTGTGGGGCTTTTAACACCACATTTCTCCTCTGCACTGCCCTAACAGAGGTTCTCCATGAGGGCTCCACCCCTCCATTAGGCTTTTGTCTGGATATCCAGGCTTTTCCATACATCCTCTGAAATCCCAAGCCTCAACTCTTGAACTCTGCACAATCACAGACTTTAATACCATGTGTGGGAACTGCCAAAGCTTATGGCTTGTACCCTTTAGAGCAGTGGCCTGAGCAGTACCTGGGTCCCTTTGAGACACAGCTGGAGTTGGAGCAGCTGGGATTCAGGCAGCAGTGTCCCAAGGCTGCAATGGGAAGCAGGGCTCTGGCTGGGTCTAGCCTACAAAATGATTTTTCTTTCCCAGGCATTTGGGCCTGTGATGGGAGGGGTTGCCTTGAAGGTCTCTGAAATGCCTTTGAGGCATTTCTCCCATTGTCTTGACTACTGACATTTGGTGCCTCTTTACTTATGCAAATTTCTGCAGCCAGTTTGAGTTTCTCCTCAATAAGTGGGTTTTTCTTTTTTTACCACATTGCCAGGCTGCAAGATTTTCGCTTTTATGCTCTGCTTCCCTTTTAAATGTAAGTTTTCATTTTGTGCTATTTCTTTGCTCATGCATATGAGCATAGGTTGTTAGAAACAGCCAGGTCATACCTTGAACGCTTTGCTGCTTAGACGTTTTCCTTCTGCCAGATACCCTAAATCATCACTCTCAAGTTCAAAGTTCCACAGATCCCTAGAGCAATGCCTCCAAGTTCTTTGCTAAAGCATAGCAAAAGTGACGTTTATCCCAGTTCCCAATAAGCTCCTCATTTCTATCTGAGACCTCCTCAGCCTGCACTTTAGTGTCCAAATCACTATCAGCATTTTGGTCACAACAAATTAACAAATCTCTAGGAAGCTCCAAACTTTCCTTCATCTGCCTCTCTTCTTCTAAGCCCTCTGAACTGTTCCAACCTCTGCCCGTTACCCAGTTCCAAAGCTACTTCCACATTTTTGGGTATGTTTATAGCAATACCCCACTCCTTGGTACCAATTTTCTGTATTAGTCCATTCTTGCACTGTCATAAAGAACTACCCGAGACTAGGTAATTTATAAAGAAAAGAGGTTTAACTGGCTCATAGTTCCATAGACTGTATGGTAAGCATGGCAGCATCTGCTTCTGGGGAGGTCTGAGATAGCCTTTACTCATGGTGGAAGGCAAAGCAGGTGTCTCCTACATGGTAGGAGCAGGACCAAGTTGGGGCAGGGAGGTGCTATATACTTTTAAACAACCAGATTATCATGAGAACCCTATCACAAGACAGCACCAAGGGGATGATGCTATACCATTCGTGAAGGATTCACCCCCACCAGAATCTACTCCCTGATGGGAGGTTGACTGGATCAGGCCCAAGTCCAACATTGTGGATTACAGTTTAATGTGAGATTTGGGTGGGGACACAGATCCAAACCATGTAATGACGTAATGTTGTAACCAAAAAATGCATGTAGGATAAAAGATATTGTTTTGATTATTTTTGAAAAATACCACTTGCCACAGTCCACCCTCTGTCCACAACAATTCACATCCCTCTCATAGGCAAAATACACTGGTCCTCAAGACTCCTAAGTTACAGTATCAGCTTGAAAAGTAGGTATTATAATTTAAATCAGGTCCAGGTGTGAATGAGGATACCCAGGTATGGTTTTTAGGGATAAACTTTAATATGTTCCTCTTGATCTGAAGAACTGTGAATTAAAGAGGTAAGATTTCTTCTTCCCTCATAGCCAACATATAGTGGTGGGTTAGGAAGAAATTATAGACACTTCAGTTCGTAAAGAGGCATATAGCAGTCACTGGTCCATAGCAATTCTGAAATCGATCTGGGCTCATATTACCAGTTATAATTAGGTTTTATTCCCTTAACACGTTCGAAGTTGTTCTGAGTGTCTCTTCACTTTCCCCTCTGGGTTCTTGGGCTCTTGAGCTCTTGGTATTGCCTTTTGAGTTCTTCTTTTCATATATAAAACAGCTCCTATTTATAGCTGAGTGATTTTCTAAGCCTGTTCTCTTCTTATAGAGGGTTTGAAGTCCAAAGTCCTCTTCATTTTGTACTGCCCCCTTCAATCTAAATGGAAAAAAATCATTTTAAACTTTGTGTGCTTTTTATGCCTCAATTTATATACACTTTATTAATCATGCCCTTCATATACTTATAAGGGAAAAGTACTACAGAATGGCAAAGACTTCTAAATATCTACTTCTCTGAAGAGCAACTAAAACACTGGCAAAAATTGCAATTCTCAATTATTTCCATAACTTTGAAAATTAAAAGCTTGTAAAAATTCAAGGAGTGTTTATTTAAAAAAAAATTGGCTTAATCTTGGCAGGAAAAAGCAAGCTTTGTGATATTTTTATGTGCTCAATTCTCATTCCCCTTGCCTCAGCTCTGTAGTAGCCTTGAAAATCAACAGCCTTGGAATCATGATACCTAAGAAAATCAGCCATCTTGCCACCACTAGAGAGGGGCAGGATGGGTTTGGAGTGCCCCCTAAAAGCTCCATCTCCAGGGAATTGTCACTCCCTGGGCTTCCTGGAAAAGCCTAATTCACAGGACTTATCCTTACCTGCCTGATGCAGAGTTCACCCAGAAAAGCCCTACTCCTAGGACACTTTTCAAAAACAATCAGCTGCAACTGTTTCACATCAAGCTGCTTGAGTCAGTGGTACCACATGGAGCAAGGGACTGGCCAAGAAACTTTAAAAAAATCAAAGGAATAAAATATTCACAGGGATCTTTTTAAAAGTTTAACATATTCCTGTGGATCTAGGACAAGACCATATATGGGCAATATGCATATACCCAGGAAGGACTTGAGAAAGTCCACATCTCTCA